AAAAATGCCGTTAAATATCTAACCTTTTGCGGCGTTTTTTCTAAAAAAGCCGCTATATATCGACATTTTGCGGCATTTTTAGAACAAACGCCGCTAACTTTAGCGGCATTATTTTTAGCGGCGTTTCTTACGGCATTTTTCCAATTGCCGTAAGCACTTTTAGCGGCGTTTAAAAACGCCGCTAAAATTTTATTTTGCTGATTTCAAGTAATTTCTCTCTCCTTTATTAGCACTTGCCTCCCTCTAGGCCTCTACTGCCATCTCATGAAACTAATGGAATCTATTTAAATCCTTAAATATATATATATATACATACACAAACAACAACAAAAAGAGATAGGGTTGAGTAATCCTCGGAAAGGGCGGTACCCGATATCTTCAGACTTGAGACACAAGGAAGTAAAACGCAGCGTTTCGTTCTTCGGAAGCTTCCCGGCGTGAGGATCACATTGCAACTCAAAATAACGCGGTTATGAGCAAAACGTTGCCGTGGCTGTTATTTTTCGGTGGCGTGCGCCAACTTTTGAACTGATGAACAAATCTGGTCAAACTCAGATTCACTGTTTATTACCTTCCAAAAACACCATTTTTTTTATTTATCTGAAATCTGAATAAAAAAAGCCTATATATATACATCCCAACGTAATCATTTTCCCAATTTGACTCTTTTCTTTTCGTTTTCCTCTTTGAAATTAACCTTTTTATTATTATTTTAATTTTTTCATAGGATCCGTAAGATTTCCAAGGAAAAACAGGTATTTGTCCTTCTTATTAACTTTTGATTGCTTAAAGGAATTTGCTTTGTGTTCGTTTTGTATAACTTTTTTGCCATCGATATGCTTGCCTTGAGGTTTGTTTTTAATCGTGATTCGATGATCAGGTTGAATTCAAATTGGTAACTGAGAAAATCGTAGATTTTTCCTATTTCAATGAGATTTTCAAAACCCATGGTTCAATTGTTGAAATTTGTTCTGGTGTCTTCTGATCTAATATAGGATATTTTTCAAAGGATAGATAAAAGACATGAATTCAATTTTTTTTAGTTGAAAAGTTCATTTCTTGCAAAATTAGGCTGGTTTTAGTTGTTTGGGGTTGTCGAATTTTGAGTTTTTATTTGATTGTATTGCAGGAGATTTATTGGAGTCCAAGCATGTTAGAGCAGTTGCTGATATTTACCAGAGGAGGGTTAATTCTCTGGACATGTAAAGAGCTTGGAAATGCTCTTAAGGGGTCACCGATTGACACATTGATCCGGTCCTGTCTTTTGGAGGAACGCTCTGGTGCAGCATCATATAACTATGACGCTCCAGGAGCTTCTTATACCCTCAAGTGGACCTTCCATAATGAGCTCGGCCTTGTATTCGTTGCTGTGTATCAACGGATTCTTCATCTTTTGTATGTGGATGAGCTTCTTGCAATGGTGAGGCGTGAGTTTTCGGAGATTTATGATCCAAAAAGGACAGTCTATAATGATTTCGATGAAACTTTTAGGCAGCTTAGGAGGGAGGCCGAAGCTAGGGCTGAGGAGTTAAAGAAATCGAAACAGATGGTTAAGCCTATTAATAACAATAAGAAGTAAGGGCAGGTGCAAAAAGCTGGTTCTGATAAAGGAAGTAAGAATAGTGGGGGTAACTCGGCTGCTGATGGTGGGGATGGCGATAATGGGAAAGGTCGTAAGTTGGAGAATGGGCACTCCAATGGTAATCATGTTGAGAATGAAGTAACTAGGATAACAGGTGTCGTTAATGGTAAAGAAAATACTAGCTCTAATATTAGTGCTTTTGATGTAAGTAAGCTTCAGAAAAGAACAAAAACTGTAAAGAAAACTGACTCTGTTGTTAACAAGGGTTCCAAGGTGGACCCTAAGAAAAAGGTTACAAAGAAGAATAGAGTTTGGGATGATGCACCTCCGCAGACAAAATTGGACTTTACTGATCCGGCGGATGGAAATGGAAATGAGAATGTAGAAGTTGTTGCAGCAAATCAGGGTGAAAGTATGATGGACTTAGAAGAGATTATCAGCAGTGATGTGATAGTGAAGGTGAAGAAGATGACGATGTGCAGAATGATAGCAAGCCTGAAGCTAAGAAAAAGGGTTGGTTTTCCTCTATGTTCCAGAGGTAATTATTGATAGAGTACCATAATTTTATTGTTGGATATATCTATTCTGTCTTTGCGACGAGTGAAGTTGTAGGTCAGTCAAATGTGACATAAAGCATATCCCCATTACTTTTTTTTTCATTAAACCTTCTAACTGGAGCTGCAGATGTTTCATGAGTTTATCAATTCATGGTGTCTTTATGTAGCTCTGTATCTATACAAAAGATTGCATTAGGAGTCAATTTTCTAGATCTCCTCTTAGGCTTAAACTGTTGAAGAATGACGAGTTTAGACATCATTTGTTTGTACATTATTTCTATTCTACGAAAAGAGTCTTCTTTGTTTCTCATCTGACGGTGACTCTTATTGTGCTTGATTTAATTTGAAAAAAGAAAGGTACTATAAGCTCCTAGACATGTTCCATTTGTTTTTTTTTCAACTTTCACCAGAAGCTTCCATCATACATTGTTGAATTTACTATGGAATTGTGTCATTTATTCATGATCTACTTTCTTGGGCTCAGTATTGCTGGAAAAGCAAACTTGGAGAAGGGAGATCTGGAACCAGCTTTAAGGCTCTCAAAGATAGGCTTATGACCAAGAATGTGGTTCGTCTTCTGCAAATTAAACATATTTGATTTCTGATGTATTAATACCTCTAAACATTCTTAGGGGTGCTTTGTTTTATGTGGCATTCACAGGCTGAGGAGATAGCTGAGAAGCTTTGTGAATCAGTAGCTGCAAGTCTTGAAGGGAAAAAGCTGGTCTCATTCACAAGGGTTTCTTCAACAGTGCAGGCCTACAAACTTTCCAGCATAATTTTTCTTTTGCTTTTAGTTTTCCCGCCTTTTGATTTTCTATAAATTTCAGCGTGTATGGTACTTGTGACTGCAGGCTGCAATGGAAGAAGCCCTTGTTCGTATTTTAACTCCCAGGCGCTCCATTGACATACCGAGGGATGTACATGCTGCCAAGGAACAGAGGAAGCCATGTGTTGTTGTCTTTGTTGGTGTTAATGGAGTTGGGAAATCAACAAACCTCGCCAAGGTTTAGCTGATTTAACTGCTTCACGTCTAGTCTTGTACAAAGGGACATACCTTCTAGTCAGGGTGGCTAACCCTCAATGTTGTTTTGCAGGGCGCTTACTGGCTTCTGCAGCACAATGTTAGTGTTATGATGGCTGCTTGTGATACATTCCGGTCTGGAGCTGTTGAGCAGTTGAGAACACATGCACGTAGACTCCAGGTATTACATCAGTCATAAAGGTTACTTCTCCCATTATGCATTAAGGTGGTTTATTTTGTACAATATCGTGTATTTTTGGTATAGCTGCTATTTTATATCTGACTTTCTACTTGCTGCCCTTGCCAGATTCCTATTTTTGAGAAAGGGTACGAAAAAGATCCTGCAATTGTAGCAAAGGAAGCAATTCAGGAGGCCACTCATAATGGTTCTGATGTTCTTCTTGTCGATACAGCTGGTCGGATGCAGGTATCTTCTTCTTCCAGAATCCTGGTAATAAGAACTAAATGCTTCTGACTTCTGAGTATGGTTCCATTATATTCAAATTACATTTTTAAAACCAGTTGCCATCAATACATGGTTTACTGTGAAATCAAAAGGAACGAGCTATAGAGGATGTATGGTTTACCCATCAAAAGAGGTTGGTTTTGGATGTAACTAGCCATTAACTTCAAAAATTGGAGAAGGAACCAGTCATATAGGCTTCGCTTGGAGTCCTAGTTATATTGTTTTCCTTGTTACCTCCATAATGATACTTATAATTATGCTTATCAGGATAACGAACCACTAATGAGAGCCCTCTCGAAGCTTATATACCTCAACAATCCAGATCTGGTCTTGTTTGTCGGAGAGGCACTTGTCGGAAATGATGCTGTTGACCAATTATCAAAATTCAATCAGGTTTGCTGTCATACTCGAGCATTTGTCTATACATAATTAGTTCTATGTAATAAAGCTTTGCACATGTTCTTGCAGAAGTTGGCCGACCTCTCTACGTCTCCTACCCCAAGATTGATAGATGGGATTTTGCTCACCAAATTCGACACTATTGATGATAAGGTACGAACCTTGAGAAGGTTTTCATACTGGGTTCATATTCGATGCACCGAAAATATATAACAATATAATCCAGTGATTTTGTTCTTAATGACATGTTATCATTTGGCTCAGTGTTAGTTTAAGGAATCACTGTCATTTATCTCTTACTTGTGGCATGCAACTGAAATCGATGTAGGTCGGGGCAGCATTGTCGATGGTGTACATATCGGGAGCGCCGGTCATGTTTGTTGGCTGTGGTCAGTCATATACAGACCTGAAGAAGCTTAACGTCAAATCAATAGTGAAGACGCTGCTGAAATGAGCGAATGCATGGTGATGGCAAAAAGAAACGAAGATTGCATTTTCTGGACTTTCATATGACTGTTTTCATTTGCTGCGAGTATGTGTTGTTGTAAATAAGTGCTTCAATCCCTTGATCTTAATACTTTTATTATATTGAAATTTAGGATTTATAATCTTTCTATTTTAGTATAATTTTTATAATGTTATATTGATAATATTGTTAACTTTCAAGTTAATATAATTTTTTTATTAGAGAAATTTGTTAGTAACTAACGGAAATTTAACCACAGATCCGTTGGCTAAATTGAAAGTTTAGTGATCTAATAGGAAAAAAATAATTCAGTGAATAAAATCCTGCCCTTTAGTGATCTAGAAAGTAATTTACCCAATAAGTTAGTTTTGAGGCCCGCGAAGCATAGAAGCACGTGACTAGATAGAGGTATCCGCACGAGGGAACAACCCAACCAAAGGGGCGCGATATTTTTTTGATAATTAAAATCCCATAGTTTTCCGAAAGAAACCAGAGACAGGGCTTTCTCTCTCTTCAATCCCTTCAGTTTCTTTCAAATGTGAACCGATCATTCAGTGTTTTCTCTCGTTGTTTCTTCGTCAAAACCGCTGTTTGTGTCCCAAAGACTCAACCTTTAGGGTTCCGATGGAGGTGAATTTAACGGGAGAGGCTGTGACTCGGATTATAAACGGAGAGGTGTCTGCTTCGAGTGATTTGAAACCGGTGCTTCAAGTGATAGAGCTAGAAGAGATTCAAACGACGTCGCAACAACAACAGCAGCAGCAAGAACCGAGAAACAGCGAGAGGGGGTTCGTGCTATTGCTATCCGACGGGGTGTTGACGCAGCAATGTCTGCTTGCTGCCAGTAAGAAACGACTCGTGAAGTCCTCAAAGTTGCAAATTGGCTCCATTGTTCGGTTGACTCAGTTCGTTAGCAACTTTGTTCAAGATCGCATGTAAAACTCTCTCTTTCCCTATTTATCGATTTGGGTTTTCTGCCAAATGAAAAAAATAACATTTTTTTTGTAGGGGGTTTCATCTTTTAACTGTAATTTGACATGGTGCTTGAGTCGAGTGTGTTGAGGGTACATGGTACAGGTACTCGAGACTTAAAATATTTATATAGTTTGGTTTTTACTGTGGAAACGAGTCAGTGATTTGTTTGTTTGATATTTGATCATCATCTCTTGTTCTTTGTTGAACTTGCAATTAATATATTCCAATTGATCGATTGGGATTATTTTTCATTATTCAAGTGTTATTCTGGGATCTGGGTCTGAGTCCTCTTAAGCTTTTTTATTCAAGCTGTGTGCTTTAGTTAAATCTGTGCGTGGGTGTATGTGTTAATTGGCTATGCGTTTATGTTCAATTTGATGCATTTGTAGGGTGGTTATTATTATTGAGTTGGAGGTGATGGTTGGACAATGTGATATCATTGGGAAGCCTGTACCAGCACAAAAATCTACTAGTTTCGCACAAGCTCATACTGGTTTCCATAGCCCTGGTCCAGTAGTTTCTCATCCTCTAATCCAGTCAGTACCTGTCTATCAACAGCCATCCCCATTCTACATTAACAGAGAGCCACCAGCCAAGAATGAGATAGGACGAATAATCCCGATTTCTGTTCTGAATCCGTATCAGGGGAGTTGGACAATAAAGGCCAGAGTAACAAAAAAACAAGAACTTAAGCACTATAGAAATGCTCATGGCGAAGGGAAAGTTTTCTCTTTCAATCTTATTGATTTGGATGGTGGGGAAATACGAGCAACTTGCTTTAATGCTGTGGTTGACCAATTCTATAACCAGATTCAAGCTGGAAATATTTATTTGATATCTAGAGGAAGTTTAAAACCTGCTCAGAAGGAATTCAATCACCTTAATAGTGATTATCAAATTTTCCTTGATAGCAGATCAATAGTACAGTTGTGTTCTGAGGACAATACAATTCCTTGGCAGAAGTTTCATTTCCGTGCCATAAGCGATGTTGAAGATATGAAGAACAATGATGTTGTGGATATAATCGGTGTGGTATTTTCTGTTGGTCCTACTGCTTTGTTAATGAGAAAAAATGATTCAGAAATTTTGAAGAGATCCCTTCATTTGAAGGACATGTCTGGCCGGAGCGTTGAATTAACTTTATGGGGAGCTTTTTGCAACAGTGAAGGAGAAAAGCTCCAAACTTTGTGCGACTCTGGAGAGTTTCCGATTCTGGCTGTGAAATCTGGTAGGGTGAGTGATTTTAGTGGGAAGGAAGTAGGAACTATTTCTTCTACGCAGTTGTTTATAAATCCAGATTTTCCTGAGGCCCGGAAGCTAAGGGAATGGTTTGCCGGTGAAGGGAGGAACACTAGTTCTGTCTCCATTGCTAGGGAAAAATCAAGTTTGACTAGGACATTTAATCGAAAAACTATCTCACAAATCAAAGATGAAAGATTAGGAACTTCTGAAAAGCCAGATTGGATTACAGTTGTAGCCACGGTTGTTTACATCAAGTTAGATGATTTCTGCTATACAGCTTGTCCTCTCATGGATGGGGATCTCCAATGCAACAAAAAGGTTACTGATAATGGAGATGGGAAATGGCGGTGCAATAAATGTGATAGGTTAGTAGATGAATGTGACTACAGATATGTACTTCAGTTCCTGATTCAAGATCATACAGACATAACATGGGTGATAGCATTTCAGGAATCTGGTGAGGGTCTAATGGGGGTGTCTGCAAAAGATTTGTATCGCTTGAGGTATGAAAACCAAAATGTGGAAAAATTTAAAGAAATCATGCATCAGATTATGTTTAATAAATATACTTTCAAGTTGAAAGTAAAGGAAGAAACTTTTAATGATAAACGGCGTCTGAAATTGATGGTGGTGGAAGTAGAAAATAAAAAAAATTCATCAGAATCCAGATACCTGTTGTCTTTGATTTATAAGATTAAAGCAAGCAATTCTTGTCTATTTGCATCGAAGGCAGCAACTACCACACTAAATCTTGGAATGGATTATTGTGGAATAGGAACTGATGGTCTGTCTATTCTTGGAGGTCATAGGCCTAGAGAAATTGTCTCAAATCTAAATTTGTTCTGTAATAGTTGCAATGTTGTTGGTCATAACTCTACGAATTGCTCCACCTTAATTAATGGTCCAGAACAGTCTATGGGCAGGGATTACACTGATAGAATATCTTCCAAGGAAAGTGTTTGGCGTACCTCAGATGAGTGCTATAAATGTCATCAATTTGGACATTGGGCCAAAAACTGTCCAAGGGCCGGTCAGTCTTATCGAAGCTCTGGTTTTTTGTCTATGCGATATGGAGGTGTTTCAAGGTAACAAATTGGGGGGGGGGGGTTGTTGAAGGCTCATGGAGTATCTTTTTTGTTTTTGTTTTTTTTGGGGGGGGGGAGTGTTTCCTAGTTTTTTGGCATTTGTAGGATATCCCTATATATACAATGCTTATATTTTCTGAATGCAAAAGGCAAGATTCTGGTGGAATTTTTGGTTGTTCTTACTGCTTTGATTATTGATATCATTCATTACAAATGTCCTGAATAGGGTATTCTTGGCGTTCCTTTTTTTGTGAATTTTACAATCAGAATTGCAGATCTCAGCAGTTGCAAGTTTCCCATTCGTTTAAACATTCATAATTTGGCAAACTCCACTATCTACAGGTAGAAGTTATCAGATTTTTAGCAGTCTATTTGAGTAACTTCAGCTCCAGCAGAATTGTAACACTAGCCTACCCAAAATGGAAACATTTTTCTGCAAAATAGAGCCCAGAGATGCTTCAAGAAACATGCACGCGACCATGCTTCAAGACAAAGTAACCAATGGTTGCGAGCAAAGATGGTTTCATTGTCTTGTGTTCCAAGTGGAAACTTGAATCCTATGCACTCCTGTTGTAGTGAAAGTCACTCCCGGAGTTGGCAAGCCGGAGAACACCCGATCTTGCTAGTTCATTTTTACCACCAAAGTTCATCATCCATTGTCTTTCATGCTTTGTTACTTTCCATCATTTTTTACTTCAACCTTCAATTTTTTTCTTTACTTTCGACTTTTTAACTTCCAACCTTCCACCTTCAATTTTTACGACCAATGGTTGTGCATGTAGGAGCCTCTTCAAAGATGCATTGATCTTTTAAGGAATGGTGCCTCGGTGGCTTGGTCTTTTTCTTTCCCTAAGGCACATGGAGCAAGGACGGTAAGTTAGGGGATTTTAAGGTGAGATCATGCTGGAAATCTTATTGCTCGTTTTCGGGTTGCTAAGCATTGTGATTGAGAGTCATTGATGCCACTGTTTTTTGAAAAGCTCATTGGTTTTATCTTTGATTATAATGTGCAGAGTGCATTTAGTATTGCAGCAAAAACTGGCTTACCCTTTCTTAAGATACACTCAATGAGAAAGCATGTTAATTTCCGAAACATCGATTCGATGAACTTACTGGACGTTCATGCATCGTTAAGCTTCCAAATTTTCAAGCAAATGCAGTTTGTGGTATCGAAATCAGTATGGTGAGAGTGGAAAAGGAGTTGGTGAAACTACAAAAGGCTTCCAAGCATGATTTTTACCGTTGAAGATGCAGATAATTATGTTACCACTTAACATGATGTCTTAGGAGTTAACTGCTGTTATGTTCATTACATAAACAATGGTGGTACAAAATTAATACTTGTTTCTTCCATTGTTAGATGATGACATGATTGCTTGTAAGAGAGTATTCAATTCAGCACCATAGAAGAAAAGTCTTGAAGTTTGAGGCCATTAAATAGTTTCCCATGTTTCTGTAATAAAATCGTCTAATTTTTTTTTTTTTTTTGAAAAAGGCAACACAAGGGATCCGTGGCACAGTGGTGGCGCTTCAGACCCAGGTCCCACATCTTTCTCGCTTTCTTGGTCTAATTATGGTTTTAGTACTTTTCAAAACCCACATCATACTCTTAGTCCTTGTAAAATTTCACATCTTGAAGAAATCGAAGGGATCCGTGGCGCAATGGTAGCGCGTCTGACTCCAGATCAGAAGGTTGCGTGTTCGATTCACGTCGGGTTCAATTCCCATTTCTCTTGATTCTCCTTTATGGACTAATTACGGTTTTACCCTATAAAACTTTGTTTTACTAAAAAACAAATCACCCCTAAGAGCAAGAAAATGATCTGCGTGCAGCTCGTCTGACTCCGGATCAGAAGGTTGCTGAAACTATTCGCGTTGTGTTCAAATAATTTAATCTCTTATTTTAGGGTCTAATTATTATTTTAATCCCTCTCAAATTCCACATCCTAAAAATGGTAACGCGTCTGATTCCCTTGTCACTTTTGTGGTCTATTTATGACTTTAGTCCCTCCCAAAATCTACATCCTAGCACTTCTTTTTTGGGTCATGGCTTTAGTCCCTCTCTATACTGAATATTTTGAATTTAATTTGACTATTTGACATAGTAAAATCTTTCTACTTTTATAATATTATTAATATATTCAAATAGATATTACAGTCAATTACTTTAAAAAGTGGGATGATGTGAATGTTTTTAAAAACAACCTTACTCATTCTGCTTTTTTGTCTACTTATGGTTTTAACCACTCTCAGATTCCAATTTCATATACCTTACAATTTTGTCTAATTGTAGGTTGAACATGTAAAGTAGTAGGACCAAGTTATAATATCAAATAAAGTTGAGAGAATATTCCAAATTTTAGCATAGTAAAAGGAGTAAAATCACAACTAAACCTTTTTTGCTACCCAATAAATTTCACTAGCAATACTTTTCAAGTGTTAAAAATGTCAAATTTCACCACTTTTCAATGGCAGTTTAAAGAGGAAATTCTAATTGCGTGATTACAAACGAAATACCAATATATATTATAAGTATTTCATGTATGATGAACTAATAATTTATTTATTTTTAAATTTAGTTTCGGCTTAAATGCATCATTGCCTCATAAACTATACCGTTTTTATCGAATTGTCCCTTAAAGTATTTTTCAGGATATTTTACCTCCTAAAGTATAAATTGTTACCTCATTTGCTCCAAATCGTTAACTCTGTCAAAAAACACTTGGGAAATTACATATTTAGTCACTCCACTATTTATGCGGTTTTGTTTGAGTTACCCAACTTTTTTTCTTTAAAATCATCACTAAACTTAAGTCTTTGTTATGTTTTTATTCAATTTATTTTTAAAATTTTTAATGTATAAGAATTCGTTTATATTATGTTTTTTTACTTGACACATAATTTTTTAATAATAAGTAATATTATACAATGAATAATAAATAATATATTAAATTATATATAACCCAAATAATATGTAACGTAAATAATAAATAATTGACAACAACAGAAAAAAAGTTGAAAACAAACCAAAATTTAAGCAAAAAAATAGCTATTAAAATTGCATCCAAAGTCTAAAGAAATCCACCCCAAACAAGTTGTAATCGAGGCTTTTGCAAGTGTTTTCCCATAGCAAGATCTAGGTTTCCAAACAATTAAAATAAAAGAGAAAATATTTGAAAAAAAGAAACAACTAAACCAATAAAAATAAAAATACCTCCAAAGAAGAAAGTAATTTAAAAAAACTTAAATACGACGATCGATGACGGTGTAGATAGTGCAAGCAACGATGAAGGCCGGGGAAATATGAAGAAGGAATGTCAATAAAGAAATAAATGGAAAACTATGAGTTTGATTTTGTTTGGTTTCATAAAAACACTTGAAAATGTGTAAATTTAAATTTTTTAAAATATAATTAATATATTTTTTATTTCAAAATCAAATCTCATAACTTAAAAAAATGATTTTTATATTTATACTCGTGATTTTTTATAGTGTTGTTAATGATGTATGTGAGAACGACAATAAAATAGTTTGGGTGCATGGGATTAGGAGGCTGATACCCGTATCCCTATTGAGTAGGTCTACTTAGGCACAACATTCTTTTTACCAGAAGTGGAGTAATTAACCATTTTTCTAGTGTGACAAAATATATTTTTTTATCATTTCTCCAAAAGTTGCTAAACTAGGTGGGTGATCAATGTTTATTCGTACATTGTGCAATTCTCATTTATGATATTTTAAATAAATAAATAATATTTCATTTAATAGAATTTTAATTACATACAATTTAATATGTTGTTTATTATTTATCTTATAATATTACTTATTTTAAATTTATGTATTGAGTAAAAAATATAATGTAAATGAATTCTTATATATTAAAATTTAAAAAGTAAATTGAATCAAATTGGGTGACCAAAACGTAACAAAAAACTTAAGTTTAGTGATGATTTTGAAGAAAACAAAGTTGGGTAACTCAAACAGAACCGCATAGATAGTAGTGTAACATCCCAAAAGATGGGTCAGTGACTTAAATGCAAATTTTGAAAACTTAATGCTCAATTTTGAAATAAGTTCAAAGTTCAAAGATTTAATTAGAGAATTTTGATGTTGGATTTAATAATGAAGTTTGAAAATAATAAGGGTAGTATGGTCATTTTGCAAGGAATATTTTTATAATTCTTTTATAAGGAATTAACTCACGTGGAAGAGGAAAGAAAGGCCAAGTTGATTCCAGGGTTTTCTTCTTTTCCCTCTTTCTTCTTCATACATGAGAGCTCAAAGAAAAGGTAAGTTTTATGGGTAATTGATTATTTGTTGATTTTAAGAGAAGGTTTTGAACCTTAGGTGATACTTAAGCTTAAGGAAAGCTTAAGTCATCTTAAAATCAAAGAATGAAGAAGTTATGAGAGATTAAGAAAACTGAGTTTTTAAGTGAATTATTGAAATTGAATGTTTAAATGAATTTAGAAATCGAATTTGACTTGTCATCTATGAGAATAAGAAGTTATAATAATTAGAATTAAGTTTATATAACATGGAAAATGGGGTAAGATTCTTGGTTTTAAGGATTTGGGAAATATATAGAAGAAAATAAGGTGTTGGAATGATAGAAGTTGGTTAAAGCGATCATAGTTAAGTTTGGTAACATAACTAGGGCTTAATATTGGAGAATTGGGTGAAGTGTTGATAATTTTCGGGTAAAAACAATCGATTCTGGGAAGGTGCATCGATGCACTATGAATGTGTACCGATGCACTAAGAATAATTTTGAATATGCATCGATGCACACTGGAAGGCATCAATGCATAGTAATTTTGAAGCTATTTTGTGAACCGATTCACCTATAGTGCATTGATACACCCCTAAAGGAAAAAGTGAATATTGGTCTGTTAAATTCATTCAAGTTATTAGCATCAAATTACAAGGTGTAGATATATTATAATTACCTTAAAATGTATATTTATGTAGATATCGAGCACGAACAAGTTCCGGAACGATTATCAAGTTATGATTCGATCGAAAGAAAGGAAATCATAAAAGTGGATT